TGTATACCACTTATGTCAGACCAATCCTGGAGTATGCAGCTCCAGCCTGGAGTCCATACCTAGTTAAACACAAGACAAAGTTAGAGAAGATTCAGCGGTAAGCCACCAGGCTCGTCCCGGAACTGAGAGGATTGAGCTACGAGGAAAGGCTAAAGGAGCTGAACCTCACATCCCTGGAAAACAGAAGAGTAAGGGGAGACATGATAACCACCTACAAAATTCTGAGGGGAATTGACAGGGTGGACAAAGACAAACTCTTCAGCACGGGTGGAACACGAACAAGGGGACACAGGTGGAGTCTTAGAACCCAAATGAGCCACAGGGACGTTAGAAAGAACTTTTTCAGTGTCAGAGTAGTTAATAAATGGAATGCATTAGGCAGTGATGTGGTGGAGGCTGACTCCATACACAGTTTCAAATGTAGATATGATAGAGCCCAGTAGGCTCAGGAACCTGTACACCAGTTGATTGACAGTTGAGAGGCGGGACCAAAGAGCCAGAGCTCAACCACCGCAAGCACAAATAGGTGAGTACAATTAGGTGAGTACTACCATCACCACCAAAATAGTAGGAGGCTACAAGATGACCTAGACAGACTGAGTGGCTGTTCCAAAATATGGCTGTTGAAGTTCAACACGAGTAAATGCAAAGTAATGAAACTAGGCAGTGGAAACAGGAGGCCAGACACAGGATACAGAATAGGAGATGAAGTACTTAATGGAACAGACAGAGAGAAAGATCTAGGAGTTGATATCACACCAAACCTGTCTCCTGAAGCCCACATAAAGAGAATAACGTCTGCGGCATATGCGAGGCTGGCTAACATCAGAACAGCCTTCAGGAACCTGTGTAAGGAATCAATCAGAATCTTGTATACCACATATATAAGACCAATCCTGGAGTATGCGGCTCCAGCATGGAGCCCGTACCTTGTCAAGCACAAGACGAAGCTGGAAAAAGTCCAAAGGTATGCTACTAGACTAGTTCCACAACTAAGAGGCATGAGTTATGAGGAAAGGCTGCGGGAAATGCATCTTACGACACTGGAAGACCCAGTGAGATCTCGAGAGAGAGAGAGAGTGAGGGCCCCTCACATCACGGAAGGGATCCCTTGAGATGTGAGGCTTATATGTGTGAGGTGAGGAGCTGCTCTCGCTAACCGAGATCTCTAAGGTGGGAGACGACCTCGCTAAGGTGGAAGACGACCTCGCTAAGGTGGGAGACGACCTCGCTAAGGTGGGAGACGACCTCGCTAAGGCGGGAGACAACCTCGCTAACGTGGAAGACGACCTCGCTAAGGTGGGAGACGACCTCGCTAAGGTGGAAGACGACCTCGCTAAGGTGGGAGACGACCTCGCTAAGGTGGGAGACGACCTCGCTAAGGTGGGAGACGACCTCGCTAAGGCGGGAGACGACCTCGCTAAGGTGGGAGACGACCTCGCTAAGGCGGGAGACGACCTCGCTAAGGTGGGAGACGACCTCGCTAAGGCGGGAGACGACCTCGCTAAGGTGGGAGACGACCTCGCTAAGGTGGGAGACGACCTCGCTAAGGTGGGAGACGACCTCGCTAAGGTGGGAGACGACCTCGCTAAGGTGGGAGACGACCTCGCTAAGGTGGAAGACGACCTCGCTAAGGTGGGAGACGACCTCGTTAAGGTGGAAGACGACCTCGCTAAGGTGGGAGACGACTTTGCTAAGGTGGAAGACGACCTCGCTAAGGTGGAAGACGACCTCGCTACGGAAAACGACTATTGGCACAGTCTACACATATTCTCCGAGACACACACAGGTGGGGGGGGGGGAGGGGGAGGGGCCCGGCTGTGGTGTAAACTCAAAAGGAAATCCTTGTTTTGTATGTAGATATGTTGGTGGTTGGTGGTGGTGGTTGTTGGTTGGTGGTTGTTGGTTGGTGGTGGTGGTTGGTGGTTGGTGGTGGTTGGTGGTGGTGGTTGGTGGTTGGTGGTGGTTGGTGGTGGTGGTTGGTGGTTGGTGGTTGGTGGTGGTTGGTGGTGGTTGGTGGTGGTTGGTGGTGGTTGGTGGTGGTGGTGGTGGTGGTTGGTGGTTGGTGGTGGTTGGTGGTGGTGGTGGTGGTTGGTGGTTGGTGGTGGTTGGTGGTGGTGGTTGGTGGTGGTTGGTGGTGGTGGTTGGTGGTGGTGGTGGTGGTGGTGGTGGTGGTGTGGTGGTGGTGGGTGGTGGTGGTTGGTGGTGGTTGGTGGTGGTGGTTGGTGGTGGTTGGTGGTGGTGGTGATGGTTGGTGGTGGTTGGTGGTGGGTGGTGGTGGTGGTGGTGGTTGGTGGTGGTGGTGGTGGTGGTGGTTGGTGGTGGTGGTGGTGGTGGTGATGGTTGGTGGTGGTTGGTGGTGGTGGTGATGGTTGGTGGTGGTGGTGGTGGTGGTGGTGGTGGTGGTGGTGGTGGTGGGGTTGTTTGGTGGTGGTGGGGTTGGTGGTGGTGGTGGTGGTGGTAATGGTGGTGGTTGGTGGTGGTGGTGGTGGTTGGTGGTGGTGGTGGTGGTGGTGGTGGTGGTGGTTGGTGGTGGTTGGTGGTGGTGGTGATGGTTGGTGGTGGTGGTGGTGGTGGTGGTAATGGTGGTGGTTGGTGGTGGTGGTGATGGTTGGTGGTGGTGGTGGTGGTGGTGGTAATGGTGGTGGTGGTGGTGGTGGTGGTGGTTGGTGGTTGTTGGTGGTGGTGGTGGTGGTTGGTGGTGGTTGGTGGTGGTGGTGATGGTTGGTGGTGGTGGTGGTGGTGGTGGTAATGGTGGTGGTTGGTGGTGGTGGTGATGGTTGGTGGTGGTGGTGGTGGTGGTGGTAATGGTGGTGGTTGGTGGTGGTGGTGGTGGTTGGTGGTGGTGGTGGTGGTGGTGGTGGTGGTGGTGGTGGTGGTGGTGGTGGTGGTGATGGTTGGTGGTGGTGGTGGTGGTGGTGGTGGTTGGTGGTGGTGGTGGTATTGGTGGTGGTTGGTGGTGGTGGTGGTGGTGGTGGTAATGGTGGTGGTTGGTGGTGGTGGTGGTTGGTGGTGGTGGTGGTGGTGTGGTGGTGGTGGTGGTTGCTGGTGGTGGTGGTGGTGGTGGTGGTTGGTGGTGGTAGATATGTTGATGGTTGGTGGTGGTGGTGGTGGTTGGTGGTTGTTGTTGGTGGTGGTGGTGGTTGGTGGTGGTTGGTGGTGGTTGGTGGTGGTGGTGATGGTGGTGGGGGTGGTGGTGGTGGTGGTGGTAATGGTGGTGGTTGGTGGTGGTGGTGGTGGTTGGTGGTGGTGGTGGTGGTGTGGTGGTGGTGGTGGTGGTTGCTGGTGGTGGTGGTGGTGGTGGTTGGTGGTGGTTTGTGGTCGTGTGGTGGGGCTGGTGGTGGTTGGTGGTAGATATGTTGATGGTTGGTGGTGGTGGTGGTGGTTGGTGGTAGATATGTTGATGGTTGGTGGTGGTGGTGGTGGTTGGTGGTGGTGGTGGTGGTGGTGGTGGTTGGTGGTGGTTGGTGGTGGTGGTGGTGGTGGTGTGGTGGTGGTGGTGGTGGTTGCTGGTGGTGGTGGTGGTGTGGTGGTTGGTGGTGGTGGTTGTGGTGGTGGTGGTGGTGTTGGTGGTGGTGGTGGTTGGTGGTGGTGGTGGTGGTGGTTGGTGGTGGTGGTGGTGGTTGGTGGTGGTGTGGTGGTGCTGGTGGTGGTTGTGGTGGTTGGTGGTGGTGGTAGTGGTGGTGGTGGTGGTTGGTGGTGGTGGTGGTAATGGTGGTGGATGGTGGTGGTGGTGGTGGTTGGTGATGGTGGTGGTGGTTGGTGATGGTGGTGGTGGTGGTGGTGGTGGTGGGTGGTGGTGGTTGGTGGTGGTGGTGGTGGTGGTGGTGGTGGTGGTGATGGTTGGTGCTGGTGGTGGTGTGGTGGTGGTGGTGGTGGTGGTGGTGGTAATGGTGGTAGTGGTGGTAGTGGTGGTGGTTGTGGTAGTGGTGGTGGTGGTGGTGTGGTGGTGGTGGTGGTGTGGTGGTTGGTGGTGGTGGTGGTGGTGGTGGTGGTGGTGGTGATGGTTGGTGCTGGTGGTGGTGTGGTGGTGGTGGTGCTGGCGGTGGTGGTGATGGTTGGTGCTGGTGGTGGTGGTGGTGTGGTGGTGGTGGTGGTGTGGTGGTGGTGGTGGTAATGGTGGTGGTGGTGGTTGTGGTGGCGGTAGAGATGTGGTGTGGAACCCAAGGCCTCGCCATGAATAAGGCAAGGTCGGGCGCTGGTTCTCGGGCCCGCCGCACGATATTATCAGTCGTACTTTCGTAAGAACAAGACGATTTCAATTAAACTTTAAACAGTCTTATTCTAGACGAAGTCACGGGCCAGGAGCTAGCTCTTGGCCACCGCCTCTCCCTCCAAGTCATGGTTCTCTCCCCCTCTCTCTCTCTCTCTCTCTCTCTCTCTCTCTCTCTCTCTCTCTCTCTCTCTCTCTCTCTCTCTCTCTCTCTCTCTCTCTCTCTCTCTCCTATCTCTATCTATCTATCTATCTATCTATCTATCTATCTATCTATCTATCTATCTATCTATCTATCTATCTATCTATCTATCTATCTATCTATCTATCTATCTATCTATCTATCTTTTAGTGTACATATTCGTCTTAGTCGACACCAGATGCACCTGTCACAACACCCACCAGAGGGTTCACTCGGCAGCCGGACGTCATCCTCGACGTCACCCAGGCGTCCTCCTCGACGTCACCCAGACGTCCTCCTCGACGTCACCCAGACGTCCTCCTCGACGTCACCCAGACGTCCTCCTCGACGTCACCCAGACGTCCTCCTCGACGTCACCCAGACGTCCTCCTCGACGTCACCCAGACGTCCTCCTCGACGTCACCCAGACGTCCTCCTCGACGTCACAACACCTGCCCAATTCTACCCAATATACTTCTACCTGAGAGAACTTCCTCTCTGAAGTGACTTTGTTTTCCCACTTTTCTTATTCTCATTAATTATCAGCCATCATAATATGTCTTATAACATAATATATAATATAACAATGGAAGCAGAAGGAAATTGTCACGTGTCTTAAAATTGTCACGTGTCTTAAAATTGTCACGTGTCTTAAAATTGTCACGTGTCTTAAAATTGTCACGTGTCTTAAAATTGTCACGTGTCTTAAAATTGTCACGTGTCTTAAAATTGTCACGTGTCTTAAAATTGTCACGTGTCTTAAAATTGTCACGTGTCTTAAAATTGTCACGTGTCTTAAAATTGTCACGTGTCTTAAAATTGTCACGATCCTTAAAATTGTCACGTACCTTAAAATTGTCACGATCCTTAAAATTGTCACGATCCTTAAAATTGTCACGATCCTTAAAATTGTCACGTACCTTAAAATTGTCACGATCCTTAAAATTGTCACGATCCTTAAAATTGTCACGATCCTTAAAATTGTCACGTACCTTAAAATTGTCACGTGTCTTAAAATTGTCACGTACCTTAAAATTGTCACGTACCTTAAAATTGTCACGTACCTTAAAATTGTCACGATCCTTAAAATTGTCACGTGTCTTAAAATTGTCAGGTGTCTTAAAATTGTCACGTGTCTTAAAATTGTCACGATCCTTAAAATTGTCACGTACCTTAAAATTGTCACGTACCTTAAAATTGTCACGATCCTTAAAATTGTCACGTACCTTAAAATTGTCACGTGTCTTAAAATTGTCACGTACCTTAAAATTGTCACGATCCTTAAAATTGTCACGTACCTTAAAATTGTCACGTACCTTAAAATTGTCACGTGTCTTAAAATTGTCACGTGTCTTAAAATTGTCACGATCCTTAAAATTGTCACGTACCTTAAAATTGTCACGTACCTTAAAATTGTCACGATCCTTAAAATTGTCACGTACCTTAAAATTGTCACGTACCTTAAAATTGTCACGTACCTTAAAATTGTCACGTACCTTAAAATTGTCACGTACCTTAAAATTGTCACGTACCTTAAAATTGTCCCGTACCTTAAAATTGTCACGTACCTTAAAATTGTCACGATCCTTAAAATTGTCACGTACCTTAAAATTGTCACGTACCTTAAAATTGTCACGATCCTTAAAATTGTCACGATCCTTAAAATTGTCACGATCCTTAAAATTGTCACATACCTTAAAATTTGATAGATTTGTGTCCCTCGACGATTTCGTATTGACCTGAAATGGCAGGAAAACGAATTATTTATATTCTTTTTGACTAGTTTATATATGTATACAAATTCTCATATTCCAGACGTTGACCAAGACGACGTAACATGGCAACACGAGACGAGCAACACTGCACGAAAGATTAAGAGGTCTCAACACTTAAGCAATTTTGCAACAGCAGTTAAGGTCCGTCCTAATCACCTGCTCTGCAACACTAAACTATCCTGAGTCAACACTTGACTGAGGACAGCGGTAAGGGCGGCTTCCTGCCCTGGTTTCTGGCCCTTAACACCATGAGAACTACGGTACATTTTTAGGACAATGCACATACCACAATTGGCCATAATGGGACAATGCCATACACAATTTGAAACTGTGTATGGAGTTAGCCTTCAGCACATCACTGTCTAATGCATTCCATCAGTATCTTGTATGTTGCGATCATATCTCTTCTGTTTCTTCTATGATCTAGGATTGAGAGATGTAGTTCCATTAGTCTTTCCTCGTAGCTCAGTCCTCTTAGCTCTGACACCAGTCTTGTTGTACCTTTTCAACTTTGTCTATATACTTCACAAGGTGTGGATTCCAGACAGATGCTGCATATTCCAGTATTGGTCTAACGTGTGTTGATTGCTGTGAAGGAATCCTGACTCATGTTACTAAACTATTTTTAAATTTGCCAACGTCCCATATGCCGCCGATGTTATCGTGTATATGTGTGTCTCCGGTGGGAGTGACGGAACTGTATCTACTCTAAAATCATTCTTACCCATTCCAGAAGTTATCTTTCCCTTATTTTGTGGTTATATTCTGGTTTCCTCTCTTTCCATCTTCATTACCTTACATTTCTTGGTATTTACTTCCAGCAGCCGCCCTGGAATTTGTGTCTACGTCCTCCTGTAACTTACTGCAGTCTTCATCAGTTTTTACATTCGCCATATCATTCATTACATCGCCATTCGCTGTATATCATGTGCAGAGACTGACATGAACCAGTTCGCTGCCTCGCGTGGGTCTTTTACACGCATTAGGAGCCACAGTGGGCCCAAGACAGAGCCTTGTGGGACCCATAATTGACACCTCTTGCATTGTGACTCTCTGATTTCTGTCGTTTAGGTACTCTAGTCCCACCCACCCCAGGCTGCTGGGAGCGTCCCTCCCACCCCAGGCTGCTGGGAGTGACCCACCACAGGCTGCTGGGAGCGTCCCTCCCACCCCAGGCTGCTGGGAGTGACCCACCCTAGGCTGCTGGGAGTGACTCTCCCACCCCAGGCTGTTGGGAGTGACCCACCCCAGGCTGCTGGGAGTGACTCTCCCACCCCAGGCTGCTGGGAGTGACCCACCCCAGGCTGCTGGGAGTGACTCTCCCACCCCAGGCTGCTGGGAGTGACCCACCACAGGCTGCTGGGAGCGTCCCTCCCACCCCAGGCTGCTGGGAGTGACCCACCACAGGCTGCTGGGAGCGTCCCTCCCACCCCAGGCTGCTGGGAGTGACCCACCACAGGCTGCTGGGAGCGTCCCTCCCACCCCAGGCTGCTGGGAGTGACCCACCCCAGGCTGCTGGGAGTGACTCTCCCACCCCAGGCTGCTGGGAGTGACTCTCCCCAGGCTGCTGGGAGCGTCCCTCCCACCCCAGGCTGCTGGGAGCGTCCCTCCCACCCCAGGCTGCTGGGAGTGACCCACCACAGGCTGCTGGGAGCGTTCCTCCCACCCCAGGCTGCTGGGAGTGACCCACCCCAGGCTGCTGGGAGCGTCCCTCCCACCCCAGGCTGCTGGGAGTGACCCACCCCAGGCTGCTGGGAGTGACTCTCCCACCCCAGGCTGCTGGGAGTGACTCTCCCACCCCAGGCTGCTGGGAGTGACTCTCCCACCCCAGGCTGCTGGGAGTGACTCTCCCACCCCAGGCTGCTGGGAGTGACTCTCCCACCCCAGGCTGCTGGGAGTGACCCACCCCAGGCTGCTGGGAGTGACTCTCCCACCCCAGGCTGCTGGGAGTGACTCTCCCCAGGCTGCTGGGAGTGACTCTCCCACCCCAGGCTGCTGGGAGTGACTCTCCCACCCCAGGCTGCTGGGAGTGACTCTCCCACCCCAGGCTGCTGGGAGGGACCCCCCCCCCAGGCTGCTGGGAGTGCACCCCACCCAGGCTGCTGGGAGTGACTCTCCCACCCCAGGCTGCTGGGAGTGACTCTCCCACCCCAGGCTGCTGGGAGGGACCCACCCCAGGCTGCTGGGAGTGACTCTCCCACCCCAGGCTGCTGGGAGGGAACTCACTAAAGATCCCATATTCACGTCAAGCTTAACTTAGAGTGACGTATTGGATGTGACGGGGACACAGCAACGTTATTACTGCTGTGGGGGAGAGAGAGAGAGAGAGACAGAGAGAGAGAGAGAGAGAGACTCCCTCTCTCTCTCTCTCTCTCTCCCTCTCTCTCTCTCTCTCTCTCTCTCTCTCTCTCTCTCCTCTCTCTCTCTCTCTCTCTCTCTCTCTCTCTCTCTCTCTCTCTCTCCTCTCTCTCTCTCTCTCTCTCTCTCTCTCTCTCTCTCTCTCTCTCTCTCTCTCTCTCTCTCTCTCTCTCTCTCTCTCTCTCTCTTCTCTCTCTCTCTCTCTCTCTCTGTCTCTCTTTCTCTCTCTCTCTCTCTCTCTCTCTCTCTCTCTCCCTCTCTCTCTCTCTCTCTCTCTCTCTCTCTCTCTCTTCTCTCTCTCTCTCTCTCTCTCTTCACAAAAATCTTTCTATTCTCAGCTTCACTTTCAAAAGAGCTTCAGAATGTTGCTTGAAGCAGTTCTCTTGTTTGCTTTTGACACTCAGGGTGTAGAGAAGCACCCCAGAGCACATACAAGCGTCGAGGAGCACAGGACGAGTGCTGTGGAGAGACTGTGGATCGCGCAAAAGGGAAAGCAACGAAGAGAAAGGAAGCGCAGGCCCCTCAGAAAGTAAAGGAAGTACCTAAGCAAACATTAGTTGTGGGAGATTCCCAGATAAGGTATTTGGATAGAACGTTTTGTGCTAGAGATAGGGGGAACAGGTTAAGGGTTTGCTATCCCGGAGCTGGCATTGGTGATATTATAAACAACATGAATGATATTATGGCTGGTAATGGGAACAATCCCATTATTTGCATTAGCGTGGGAGGAAATGATGTTGGTCGAGTCAGGAGTGAGGAACTGATTCAGAGGTATAAAACAGCCATAGAGTTAGTTAGGAGCAAGGGAGGAATCCCGATCATATGTGGCATTCTTCCAAGAAAGGGAGTGGGAAATGAATGGATATCGAGGGCACTTGGTGTCAATTGCCGGCTGGAAAGATATTGCAAATCAAATGCAATATCTTTCATAGACAACTGGGAACACTTCTATGGAAGAAATGAAATGTATGCTCGTGATGGGGTGCATCTATCGAGAGCTGGGGTTGTTGCTGTTGCGAACTCGCTAGAAGAAGTGGTTAGAGGTGTTTGTTTGGGTTTAAACTGTTAGTAGATAGAGGTATGGGAATTGATTTGGAGGAAGGAGGTAATAAAAGTATGTGTTTGTGGGAGAAAGGAATTGGCAAAACGATCAGGGAAAGAGAAGGTCCGCAAAATAACAATTCACTTAGGGTATATTACACTAACAGTAGAAGTCTAAGAAATAAAATTAACGAATTAAATGCTCTTGTCTGCACAGAAAAAATAGATATTATTGCACTTACCGAAACGTGGATGAATGTAGAAAATAGAGAACTATTAGCTGAATATCAAATATATGGATTTAAACTATTTCACACAGATAGATATATTAGACGAGGAGGTGGAGTAGCCATATATGTTAGGGACAATTTGAAATGTAGTCTCAAAGAGGGAATCAAAACAGAGCCACACACAGAAACTATTTGGATTGAATTAAACGAAAAAGCTAATAATATTATAATAGGAGTAATATATAGGCCACCAAATTTAGACAGAATGGAAGCAAAGCATCTATGGGATGAAATATCTAGAGCATCTAGATCTAACAGTATTTATGTCATGGGTGACTTTAATTTTAGCGGAATAAACTGGTTGAACAAAACAGGGAATAGTGAAGCAGAAGATTTTCTAGAATTAATTGACGATTGCTTTCTTACGCAACACATTAAGGAACCAACACGGGAAAATAATATTTTAGATTTAGTGTTAACTAACAGGGAAACGCAAATTAATGACATCGAAATAGGGAGTGAGCTAGGGAGCAGTGATCACAAAGAAATCAGATTTAGCATAGAATGGAATAGACCAGTAGGAGAAAATTCTGTTAAAGTGCCAGATTTTCGAAAAGCTGATTTTAATAGCCTAAGAAATTTTTTGGGTCAAATTGATTGGAAAGGCTTGGGTATGGGGTGTGGGCCGGTCTTGGAGCGAGACATGAACCCAGCGATAGGTGACTTAAATGGGGATTTCGATGTGGATTCAATATATAACTTATTTAAGAATATTCTAAACAAAGCACAGGAACGTAGTATACCATACAAATTGAATAGATCGTATACTAATGACCCAAAGTGGATAACAAAGAATTTGAAGAACCTTATAGGTAAAAAGAGAGCTTGGTACAAAAGGATTAAAAATGGGGAGGTCACTTTAGAACAGGAATTCGTACAACTGGTTAGAAATGTTAAAAAAGAGATAAGGAAAGCAAAAAGAAACTATGAAGTTCGCATAGCAGGGCAAGCAAAGACAAATCCTAAAGGGTTTTTTCAGTTATATCGTACTAAGACTAGGGAAAGGATAGGTCCATTAAAAACTGAGACAGGTCAAATAACAGATAGTGATGAAGAGATGAGTAGTATTTTTAATAAATATTTTGTATCTGTATTTACTAAAGAGGAACTTAACAATATGCCTTCAGCCGAACAAGTCTATGTGGGTGGGGACGAGGACAGGTTGACGAGTTTAGCAGTTACCAGGGAGGATGTTCTTAAACAAATAGTAAAACTCAAACCAAACAAATCCCCAGGGCCGGATGAAGTGTTTGCTAGGGTGCTTAAAGAATGCAA